GTTTAATCCCTGTCACCTCCATGGGGCTTGCTGGGAACTATCGTCCAATATATTTGGGAGGAAATCAAGCCGGGAAAGCTTGTATAAAAAACACTGTGCTAGATGGGTGAGTAGCATAAGACAAGCTTCTTACATTCCAAGATCTCATGGAGAAAATTCAGCATGTGCTCAATGAGACGCTGCCAGGATTCCCTGGCAGGTATGCAGCATCAACACATTATGCACTTGACATCACTGTATCAGACAGAAACATGGAGCTGCCTCCGGCCAGCCGCTCCTGGGAGGGCAGCAGCCACTGCAGGCAGTGGGGTGTGTGGTGTTTAGGTGTGTCTCTTTACAAGTGCTATTTCTGGGGGAAGAGAAGCCCAAAAGTAGGGGGTAGTCGGTGTGCGCGCAGATGCAGCACTGTGTTGTTCCAACTTGCATGGTCTTAAATAAATATTGATTCTGTATTCAGAGTGGAGGCTTCTTGGGTAAGATGCCACAGGATGCACCCAGAATTCAGCACTGTTCGGTGTCCCTGGATCTGGGCACTTGAGTTCTGTGTGGAATTTATTCCAGGATGTATTCATTGGACTCTGGCAGGTGCTTCAGTCTCATGGCTAGTTCCCTCAGCAAGATCCAAACTCTCACCCTAAATGTCGATATTTCTATGTGTCTGTCTAAATAGATTCCAAAAGTCTAAACATTGTGCCTTGCAGCACCCCTGGAAAACCCACTCAGCACCATCTCCAAGCTCATGCTTTTCCTGCAGCCTCCGATCTGCAGTCAGCATGGTCCTTCCCACACTGGTTGTCCAGGGTGGTGTCCTCTGAGCTCCAAGTCCCAGCCTTGAGCTTGGAGTGAATTTCTGGGGTCAGAGGCAGGACTCTGAATAAGCTGGTGGCTGTCTAGATGCCACCTAGTGGCCAAACGTTCCTGCCTTTAGCTTACAATCCTAAACACAATTACTAAAAAGGGTAAAATCATTTCATGTTCTGTTATTTTAATGTTTAATTGATTTTAACTGGGGTTTTAGTGTATCAATTGTCAGATGCTGTGGTGTTTGTTTTATTCTATTCATTTTTTGTAAGCTGTCCCAAGACATTTGGAGTGGATAGGTTAGAAAATTGTTTAATAAATTAATAAATAAATAAACTGGACTAAGCACAGCGGGACTTCATTCTCATAGAATCATGGAATAGTGGAGTTGGAAGGGGCCATGAAGGCCATAGAGTCCAGCCTCCTGCTGTTGCAGGACACCACATTACACCTTCCCACTCAGAGGGCTGTCCAGTTTCTTTTTGAATGTCTCTAGTGTGGGAGAGCCCACCACTTCTCTAGGCAGCCGGTTCCACTGTTGTGTTGCTCTGACAGTGAGGAAGCTTTTCCTGATGTCCAGCCTGGATCTGGGTTGTTGCAACTTGAATCGCTTATTCCGTGTCCGACACTCTGACTTCAGCAAGGAGAGATCCTGACCTTCCTCTTTGTGACAGCCTTTGAGGTACTTATAGAGGGGTAAGTATTAAGTATGCACAGAACTGGATTTTTAAACACATTGTCCTTTAATATATCAACCTCGATCTGACTAGTTACATGCACGTGCACCAAAGCCACCTCCAGGGCGGCCCAGGACATATTGCTGCCTGAGGGGATAGCTTGCTGTCCCTCCATCCCACACAGAGAGATTGGATAGAGCACTCCCGATCAGACCACGTCTTGCCTTAGGGCAGCGGGCCAGCTGCCGGGGGTGCAGGACAGGGTATGCAGCACCCTCATCTCTGCCCTGCACACCGCCCTGCTGACCCACCGCATGAGGTGACTGCCTCATTCTGCCTAATGCTAGGCCCAGCCCTTGCCACCTCATCACAAAATCGTAGAGCCAGCCGGTATAGGACAGACATTCCCCGAGCAGAAGTTCTCCTTCCATACGCAGAAGGATCTGCAATACAGTGGAGACTCCCTGCAGGAGAGCAGAGTAAGGAGACGATCACTGCTTATCTCCAGTCCATCTGCGGCTCCTTCCTTGCCCTTTATGCTGCTCCAGAGCCTTCCAGACCTGCTTTTCAGAAGGCTGAGAGCTGTAGGGAGAAAGAAGAATCCAGAACTGACTCTCCATCACTTTCTTCCAGCTTGGTCAGAACCAGAGCCCTACCTACCATTAGATAAACTGAGGAAGTCATCTCAGAGACCAGGTGGTGAAACAACAGCAAGGTGCTGGAGGAGAGCTGCATGACACATGGGCGGCCTGTGCCCCTAAATGAACCTGCTGCCGTCATGTACGGCGGGGGACACTGTCCCATCATCACTGTTGGCAATTCACTGCTAATGCAGCTGGGCTTTTGTACATGAAATCTGAGGATGGGATAAATTTTTGTCCTTCACTGCAGGCAACAAAATACCTTTGGCTTAGCCCTGGTAAGTGTTCCTGGGTCATAACCTGGCTGAAAAATCCCTTGTGTTAAATCTGGACTATTCTATCATTGAGTAAGGAACATTTCCCTCCCTAGCCAATTGCAGGGCTCAGCACCACTGACCTAGGTGCCTGTTAATTAAATTCTGTGACATAAATACCCAGAGTGCATGCCCCCTCTTCTTCTGAGCTGATTTATTCACTCTCTGATAGATGACTAATGCAAAAGTTTGTACAGATGACTTCTTAGGAAATGCGTAGATGTTAATCAGTTTCCCACAGGGCCCTTTACAGAAAGATGAACAGAATGAGCAGAACTGAGATTTCCTAAACTGCATCCTCTCCTTCTTTGTATAAATCCTTGGTGATGAAGAGCAGAACTTGATTTCCTGGAATGTCATAATGTATACTAATAGTGCTTATATTAAATTTATTTTCCACCTGTATGAAACAATGCTGACTCCTTGTGGCCAGATACTGTCATTCCTCTACAGCACTGATTATAATCAAACCAGAATTTGGAGGTAAGATCTGCAAAGAGCTTCCAGACAAAGAACTAGTCCTCCTCATTAGTCAGTTGCAGGGATTCATCACATCCATGACTAGCAAGTCACATGAGGGCTGTACATTTCCTCCTTAAACCAACTGGTAGGCAGGGGAATGGCAGAGCTCAACTGAGGGGCTGTTGTAAAAGTCCAGTGTCACTCTAGCCCTGTGCAGACATTCATACAGATAATGTGTGAAGGGGAATTAGGCTTATGGCATCTTTTTTTCTTCCATAGCCAGTCACTGGACCCACTTTTCTGGACATGGATTCAAGTTTTTGCAAAACCACTGACCTAAACGCTGATGATTGTGCATGTTAAATAAATGAACTCTGATATGAATACTCAGTGCAAAAGTACCCTCTTCTGATGAACTGGTTTAGTCACTCTCTAGTAGGTAACTAACATTAAAGTTTGTATAAAATTCTTCTTTGTAGATCTGTAGGTGTTAACAGAGTTCCCCTCTACGAAACAAGGCCCTTTATGAAAAGACAGAGAGTACGCAAAAGAGAGCACAGATTATTAAAGGGGGAACTGTCTGCTACTTTGCATAAACCATTGGTGATATAACTGAAGATCTTGACTTTCTGGAGTATCTTAATGCATATGAAGGAAACAATTACCAAACTGTATTTCTACCTGGATAAAAAACTGCTGATCCCTTGTCATTCCACAGACATACCAGGATATTCACATCATTCTCCTGGTATCCCTCTTTTAAGCCTTTAAGGCAAAGATGAGCAACCTTTGGCATTCCAGGTGCTGTTTATTTATTTAACACTATTTATGACTTTTACATTAAAGGGATTTCTAAGCAATGTACAAAAAGAAGTCTTCATAAATAGGACTAAATTACCTGCCTGACAATACCTGTTGGCAAAGGTATTATTTCAGTAGATAAGGAAAACCAAGAAAGGTTGTTGACTGGTGAATTTATACTTGCAGCAAGTTCCAGAGAGTGGGCGCTATAACACTAAGGGGTCTTTTCTGAGCTGTGACAGACTGGACCTCTGAAAACTTGGGTAATACCAGAATGTCTCCTGATAACCACAGAACTGAACTGGCTAGTAACTGTTGGACTCCAACTTCCATCAGCCTCATCCAGTATGGTCAATGGTCAGTGATGATGGAAGCTGCAGTCCAACATCAGAAAGGTCATAGGCTGTGCTCTCCTGCTTTATGGGTCAGACATTCCACAAGGGACACACCTTCCAAGGCCAGGCTAAACTGCCTGAGGATGGACAGCCTCTGCAAGGCAGAGTGTACACCCCCCACCCCCGGGCAATCATTCTTTGTAGAAATCTAGCATCATACTCCATGGAATAACCAAACAGTGAAGGCATATCCAGCTGGGAGATTTTACAAAAGACCAACAAACTAGCATGTAACTGAATTTTCCGATTCTCCTGCTCAACAGGAGCTAATACAGGGATCCTGCCCTCTCTCCCCACAGATGTAGTAACTTCTAGGGGCAGTAGCCTGAAGAGACTCCCCCAGCCTGGCAGACTATCTGATGTCAAATGTTTTTTTCTTGTTCCTTTTTTTCACAACCCCAGAATGTTGCTCCATCTCTTTGAACAATGTCAAAGAGATCGTGGGAGTTTCCACTCTAGTAAGGGGAAACAATGAGAAAGTCTGAAGACTTCTGGGGAGATAGCAAGGGTGTGAAAGCTATTCCTGTGTTACCTACAGACAGGCATTCTGCATTGCATTGCATTATTAGTAGTGCATGCATAATAATTGACACGGTATGAAAAACCAAGTTGTAAACCTTTGCTTTAAGAGATGATAACAGCAAAATTTACACCAATCAGCATTCGTTTATAGCCACTCCTGGGATTTGGGTGGCTTATATATCAATTCTATTAAGTAGGAGGTGTGCATGTCTAACCCTGCCTTGGAGTCATCTTCATGCAATTACTAGACTTAGATGTTAAATCCAGTAATTTAACTGGATTGAAATTAAATCCAGGAGAGGACACTTCAAATACCCTCTCCTGGATGTGAATCTATCTCTCCAGACATGAATTACCACCAGGGTACTGGACGATTACAGGCTTTGGATGAGTAACAATCCAACCTTTTAAAAAAATGAAACAAAATATTCCCAATCAGGAATTAAACATAGTGACAGTGGCAGGCATCAGGTTAAGTTCAAGGATGTGCAATTTGTGTCCAGGAAGCTCACAGCACCAGTTGTCCCAATTGTAACAATATGAACTACCTGTACTAACTCCCTGTATAGTATATTAAAAATACTCGCAACAATATTAATTCCTTAATGCTGTCCTGCAGAGGCCAGAAAGAATTCCCCCAAGCAGTGCCACCAATAGCTACTGCGCTGCTGCTTCAGTATCTGTTTCACTTTTGTGCCTGCACTGGATTTCTTAAACCAAACTCTAACAGTCTTTATGCAACAATAGGTGCAAGACTGCTGAAAGAAGAGCAGTGTTTGTGGGCTGAGGAGGAGGAACAAAATTGCCTCCCCCACTTTTTTTACTGACCATGCGCATGCTTTTAATCACAACTTGATGCCCCAAAAATTCAACAGGTTCTTTTCCTCCACTTGCCTCTATATCTGGAAAAGCTGCATCAGCCTAAACTTCTGTAATCGGGCTGCTCTTCAATGCAAATCACAGACTGGGTATATGAAGTGGCCACCCTACAAAGAGCAGGGGTTCCAGTAACTGGTCCTAAATGAGATGGGTTTCCCTTGAAAGGCTTTTAAAATCACTTCCAAGGAATCAATCTTTTCCTCATTGATGGCCTTCTACAAGCTGCTGAAGACTATTCTTTGTTTAGGAAGGCATGTGGCATGTGATTTTCCACTTGTTGTTTTGAACTTATTTCTGGGTTTTGCTTTGAGTTTTAAAAAACAATTATTAATTTAGTTATTAACCACCCTGAATTCCTAGGAGAAAAGCTGGGGTGTAAACAATTTAAAATAAATTGTTTACCCTGTCACTCAGAATTCCCAAATGGCTTCAATGTTTTGTCAATTATCATCATTTTTATTCAGAAGATGATAAGAAGTACGCGTAAAGTGCATAGGATTGTAGCTTAGGTTTGCCAATGGGAATGGATTATGATTCAGTGTCTGTTACACCAATGAACTTATGCCTCTGATTTGATGCTATGGAAACTTTACATGAGCTTAACAGATGGTTACCAAGAAAAGAGATGTAAGTACTGTCCTTCTCTGTGACTCACAAATGCAGAACACAACAGTGCAGTAGGGTAAAGAGGGCATTATTTTAAGTCCTCATAATCATGAGACTTTGGCATAGAGACTGATCTGGTGCTTTCAGCTTGACCTCTGGCTTACCCTCGCATCTATGATGCAATGTTTACATCAACCACAGCTACGGTAAAAAGAAAGAGGGAGAAGTGGGTCTAATGGTTGTATTCACCAAGTATATTCCAGGAACAGATCCTAAATAAGGCACAATAACACAGAATTACAAAGTCACTCTCCTCTACATCATCGCAAGAATTCACTCTCAAGTCTCCTTCCCATGCTCAGCACAACTTCCATTGTCATGTCTTCCAAAACATGCATTCAGCACCAATTTTCAACTGCTTTGTCCAGTCCTTCTGCAAACATTCAATACATAATATAAAATCTGGATTACAACAGCAATTGTAAAATCTGGATTACAATGGATCACTGTCCATTTACAGACACTTTCATTGAAAGTACCCAGCTAATCAATTTTATATATAGAGATCAAAAATCTCCCATCAATACCTGAACACAAATAATCCTCCACAATGCCCACTAAAGCAGCATGTCTCTGGTGGCCACCTTTATCGCAAAAGCACAGACTTTTAAAGAGATCTTCGGTCAACATAGGTCATTGCACTACCTTTCCACAATTCTCTAGTTAGCAGCAGGAACTGAATGTAGTAAATTTATCACTTAGGAAGTAGAATAGGTCACCATTATCCCCATCTGAAATGTGACTGTGAGGCAGCGACATGCCTTAGGAGTGAAGACCACTGTAACATTTAAGTGTCGTGAAGCTGGTTTGAAAGTTCCCTCCTGTGATGAATGTAGGTGTATTTTTCTGCCCCAAGGTAATAAAACCAGGTTTTTGTTTCCAGTTTGATTCAGTTTTGAGTTTGGCAAACTCATCTGTTACCACTGTATCTCATGTGCTTTTGCAAAACGTTTGTAAGTTCTGAGTATAGATAGGTATAAACAATTACATACCACGTTTAAAATAAAGCAAGTTTTGAAACCTAGGTCACAGTGTGGGGGAAGTATCTTCCGGAACCATGCTTAAAACATTTAATTGTATGCATTCGTCTTGTGAATTAGTTGCTGAGCAAGAATAAAACCAGTCTAATGCTTTATCTGCAAGTCAATGCCAGATTTTACAACTGGTGGACATAACTGGCAACACCCAAACTTTGTAAAATACCATGTGGTAGAGGAAAGCACCACATTTCATACTAAAGTACTATGGTAATTTGTCTTTCACAAGCCTTTGAATAATCTTCATGTCAAGTGTCATGATCACATATAATGCCCACACATTTTTCCAAATCCTGGCATCTAAAGATTACTTCTACCTGGGTCTGATCCTGATAAACATGCCAATACTGAGCACCAAACAAGGACTGTAGGCCACAGGTAGAACGCACACTTTTCATGCCAAAGTTCAATTCCAGGTTCATTCTCTAGCATATCCAGGAAGGAGTGAAAAAGATCCAGTTTAAAATCTTTGAGATCCACAGCCAGCTGGATGGGACAATATAGAGCTAGGTATGTCAAAACCCCGGCCCTCTGTCCAGTATGAAACTCAAGGTAAGGCACAGGCTACTTCCTGGGGGCTAAGCAGTTAGTGGATTATCCAGGGCTAGCCCTCGCACACAAACAAGCCCTGCCATCATCCTGTGCTCAGAGAATGAGTGCCCAGAAGAAACACCATCTCCCTAGCCTTGCAGAAGTCTCAGGTTACAAAATCAGCCCAGTTGGCTTCTCCAGGAGAAACAGAGCTGACAACATCACACGTCTTTCCAGACTACATAAGCCTTAAATTGGCTTCACTTCCTACTGGGACAGCTTCCTCCTACAGTCCTAGTGGATCGGTCCACCAAGCAGGGCTCCAGAAAGCTATCCATAGCCCTGCTTTCTTCTGCCTTGACTTTTCTATTTACATTGGATTATATCTCATTAACTGGATCTTGTCCACAGTGACCTCACTCTGCTTACCAGGATAGGAATTTACCTGCTTTGATTTGATAGCTTTTTGTGTGGGCCTCAAATAACCACAAGATGGACCTCCAATGGCATAAAGCACCTTCCAACATTTCATTAGAAATGGCAGCACTGTGTGTAGATAGTCAGGATACCATCACTAGAAATATGGCAGGACAAACAGAAGAAATGTCATCTGGATAATAGATGGGATCTGGAGGGCTATAACACAGGTCTGAAAAATGTACCAAAACTGCCACTTTTCACACAATCCACTGCTGCTGCTATATTCAGAAGGAGGGTTTACAGTTCACATTGCTTCTTATGGTCAGTCATTGTTTACATGCCCTTTCCTGGACTTAATGATCAAAGTGTTATACTTTATTGAAAGGGTACAAGATTTTGCATGATTCGCCTAGACTTGTAGGCATTCTCGTTCCTCTTTCAGGGCATTGTCCCGCCCCAACTCCTGCATTAAAATCCTTTTCCTTTGTCATTTCTAATCTGTGAATTTACATAATTTTGTCTAACTTGCATAAGACTGCACCCTTAGGCATTTCTTCTTTAACAGGCAGCCTATGCCAAATACAGGATTGTGCCACAATTCGGTATCAAGGATTCTCTCTCCGTTCTCCCTTCTTCTTAGCCCGTTACACCATTTTTTTAAAGCAAGGCAGGGTCAATAAGTATCTGGTACAATAGTAAGCATTCAGTTATTAAGAATATTAATTAATGCTTAGTACATGTAGAATTAAAATGCCTAGCCATGTAATTTCTGGGAAAGGAAGTACGTGTATTTAAGGAAAATGCATAAAATTTATTTTGTGGAAGTAAAGCACAAATGTGAAAGACAGTGAGCTAAGAGCACTCACGTGGCCTGACCCTGCTAGTCTAATCTTATGGGGGAGTCTACTGAAAAAGGAGTAACAGCTGAAAAATGTCATCAAACTCTGCAACAAGAAATGACAGTGTGGTCTGAGAGGTACCAAGAATCCTTTGGCCACTAACTGCCATCTTTTTTCAATCAAATTGGGTGCCCAGTTGCTGCGCTCTCCAAATTCATCCCCAGCTTTCTGAATACTGGAATGTTGTTCTTACATTCTTAAATTCTATGCTTGCATTTACAAGACAGGGATAAATGTTTTACTTTTCTAATTATCATAGTCTTATTTCTGTATCTCCACCCTCAGTCCTCTACTTTTATCTCCAGTGGATTTCAAAATCTTCAGCTGCTGGCTATCTTTCGGGGCAAGGCTTTGTAATTTCATCAACACAATTGTTCCAGGCTCTTCCACCCAAAGAGCAACTGATGCAGCCAAATAGTCATCCCCCAGGATAAAGGAGATCAAAAGATCTCTTTTTATTTTTGCTTCATAGACTGGTAAAGAATATGCAATATGCAATATTTAAATGGTTCTCCTGTCCAAAAGAAGTTAGTTTGTTGTTTCACTTGCTCTATGCTTCTCTTTTCAGTTAGCCACATGAGTGGCTAGATGGTGATTAGATGATTTCCCCTTAGTCAAAAAAGGAAAAGAGTTCCCTTTAGTTCTACAAGAGAAGAGATGGAGAAAGACCTGTCAGTCTCCAAACAATGAAAGACTAACCCTACCTAGTACTGCTTGATGGGATTCTGCACAGAGGTGGAGAAAGTCTTCTGAGAAACCAATATTTATAAACAAAACATAAAATAACAGGGCAGTCCTGGGTCGGGAGGGTATCAACTGCACTGCCACCTGTTCATACTTGTAGTGGATGCTGATTTAATTCAGTGCACAATCTGAACAGAGGATTTCCCCCCTGCTCAAACAAGGTTGCAACATTCATAATTTACTCAATGAGTTCAATGTGATGTTCTGCACATCCATCTGCAGAGCAGTTGTATTTTCTGAATGGATGTTGGCCCAGGCAGGATAGGTGCCCAACTGAAAGATGCTTGTGGCCCAAGTGTTGATGGCCAGGCTCAGAAGCATAACTCCCATCAGATTCATAAGCAGACCAGTTCTTGCCTGTGGAAGGAAAAGGGGGAGTTAAATATTCTTGGTTTAGAAAGTGTTCTCCATTATGGAGGAGTCTTGGGTTTGAGGTGAGGGTCTTGTAGGCCATCTAATTCAACCCCCTACAGAAAATCTAGAGCTGAAGCATCCTTAACAGATAGCTATCTTACCTCACCTGAAGACCTCCAATAAGAAAGTGATGAAAATTAAGGAGATCCGACATCAAACTGCATTTACCATGAAGAGGTTTCTCATAATATTCAACTGAAATCCTGCCTGAGTTATCAGGGGTTTGAATGCAGACCAATTATGAACAGGGCCGTTCAGGGAACTAGTACTTGGGCCTTGAATGGGGCCTGGAAGCTCACTAGCAACCAGCACAGGGATTTCAAAATGGATGCAGTATGTTCATATCTCATTGCCCCACCAATACATGGGCAACAGCACTGCGCACCAGCTGCTGCTTCCAGGCTGTCTTCAAGGGAAGCCCCATGTAGAGAACACTGGAATAGACAAGTCAGGAAGTTTTCACAACATGGGCTACTTTAGACAAGGATGAGAAAGATAATGTATGTTCTGCAATACTGGATGAGCATCTGCTGGGGAAATTAAGTTTCAATAATTAGTAGATTTGCTTTTTGTCTAGTCCTTTTTGACAAGGCAGTGGTCAGCTCATATTCTTGGACCCTATAAGCCCCAAAATGAATGACAACAAATAATAAGATTAAATTCTTTAATGTACAGCCTGCTTTATACCAGCTGCTGGTTTACGTTTGGTTTTAATTTGGGAGGTGATGGTTTTAGCTTGCTTTTATACCATCAGCAGCAGCACCAGCATTTATTGTTTTTAATTTGCACGCTGCATAAAGAATTTTGATTAACCCAATGTACATTTGTATATATATAACACTTACACAACTCCTGTAGTCCTGTGCACAAATAGCTGGCAGAGTATTCTTTTCTAAGGAACTATTTTTCTTTTACATGTAAAGCAATATAAGACGGGCTCTGATTTCCTTCTTAGCTCTTGGAAAAACACAAAAGAACAGCAACCATCCACTTTTTGCAGAAAGCCAAACTAAATGTGAAAATAACCCTAAATGCGACATTAATTGCTTGGAGGTCATTAATATGCGTGTTCCTAAATAGCAGCCACTGGAGGCCTGAACCTATCGAAGTTGCTCTTTGCATTTCAAGGGGAGCCCACAAAGGGCAGCACCAATGCATCAAGTAGTTTCTGAGAGTCCAGTTCTGGATGGATCAGAGCAGAGAAAGGATCAAATATCTCCTATTCCCTGTGGTCCGGAGGCTATTCCAGCCAAGACACCGTGCATGAACAGCAGAGAAGGAAATGCTTCTGCTGTTTAAAATGCCATGCGCAGATGTTCCTTTTACCTTGCAGTGCGCATTCTGCCTTCTGTGCCCCAGCTCCCCTCATGCTCCTACAAATCAGTCAGGAAGATTTCTGGGTGCGATCCAGCAGAAATGGATTCAAGGCTCATCAAAATCACATGAAACTGCATCCCACTGAATGAGAGCATTGGTCCATTTGACTAACTATCCAAAAATCTCCTACCGTGATCTTTCCTAGTCCTTTGAACAAAGATTCTTAATGGGAGGATGCTTCAGTCTGCCTGAGACATACTTACATATCCATTGCATACAGAAGACTTTACTGCCCACCATAAAACACTTAGTATTTTCTGTGAAAAGACATCTATAAATCAAGTGATAACTGGGATGGATGAAGGCTGCTGCCAATTCAATGCAGTCACATTGTGACAAAACAGAAGCCTTTCTCTGTTCTACATCAGAAACAAAATTTCCAGGTGTTTTTTCCTGCTTGTTTGTTTTTTGAGTCCAGCTCCCAGCATTCCTGATCATTGGCCAAACTAGCAGAGGCTTCTGGGAGATGAAATCCAAAATATCTACAGAGCTACTTTTTGCCAAACACAACCCTGCTCTATTATATATAAAACAACTCACCATATCTTTGACCAGCAAGTGCCCAGAAGCAAAGGCAATTGAATTTGGGGGTGTGGAGACTGGAAGCATGAAAGCAAATGAACATCCTATAGTCCCTGGTATCATTAGGTAGAGAGGATGCACTTTCAAACGGATAGCCTTGAAAGAAAACAAAAAGAAGGGAAGTTGCACTATGACGTATTAGCTGAAGTACAGATTGCTGATAAAGCTCCTGAAGACTAGAAACGTATGCGAAGTTCTTGCACAAGCTTCCACCAGATGATTCTAGACAGACCAAAAGAAGTTAGTTTGTTGTTTCACTTGCTCTATGCTTCCCTTTTCAGTTAGCCACATGAGCAGCTAGATGGTGATTAGATGATTTCCCCTTAGTCAAAAAAGGAAAAGAGTTCCTTTTAGTTCTACAAGAGAAGAGATGGAGAAAGACCTGTCAGTCTCCAAACAATGAAAGACTAACCCTACGTAGTACTGCTTGATGGGATTCTGCACAGAGGTGGAGAAAGTCTTCTGAGAAACCAATATTTATAAACAAAACATAAAATAACAGGGCAGTCCTGGGTCGGGAGGGTATCAACTGCACTGCCACCTGTTCATACTTGTAGTGGATGCTGATTTAATTCAGTGCACAATCTGAAAAGAGGTCCCCCCCCCCCCGAAACTGATTGCGTGGTGAAGGCAAGAAGGCAGGTCTTACATCTGAGAGAATGTCAACCTCGCTTGTGAAAAGAAACGTCTCTGCTGGTGCCACTGAGTTGCTGCGACGTGGGCGACAACTCTGCATCTCGCTCTTACCAGTTCTGCCAGAACAGGCAGGAAGATGATGATTGTGGCTGTGTTGCTGGCGAATTCTGTGAACATCGCAATCACGATTGTGATGAGAATAACCGCCAGAGGAGGAGGGAGGTTCTCCAAAGGATCAAGCCGACCTCCAATCCAGACAGACAAGCCTGACTCCTAAAGCAGGGAAGAAAATCCAGAAGGTTTTGTTAAAAAATCAATGGCAGCTGACCTTACCAAAGGCTTTCTTCTCTTGTGATGAGATCAAAAACCCATGAGTAGTTTACTACTTGTCTCTGCCTGCCATGGTAAAAACTGGTAGGATGATACAGAGGATGACACTTTATCAGGAAGTGTACGATATTGAATGGCATATAAAAACCTAGAGACTGTGCTATTGGACAGCATATAAAAACTTAAATAAAAATAAATACTTGTCCTCTAAAACATGAAGCAACTTCAATTTAACACCATCTTCCATGGCATTTCTGAGGCAGAGCCTCCTTGACTTTCTTCACCATTTTCATATAATGGCTTTGCCTTGTGAAGCTATCAGGAAGGTACATCCTTGAAAACCCTGGCTGGCTTTGTAACATTTCCCAAAGTGATGAACAATGATCTTGTGGGGGGAAAAAACCAAACGAACTACCTTACTTCTTGTACTTCATGGAGTATCCTTTGTTTTTGTCCTTAGGGCCAAAATAGACAATCCAACATGTACTTCCGTTTGGGTGTCTGTGTGGATGGTTTTCTTTTTAAGGAAGCTTGGGGAAGGCAGGGCAGGTCTGAACTGGATTGGGCCTGCAGTGCAGGCAGCGGGGCGGGGGGGGGGGTACCCCCTTTCCCCTGCAGTTCAGACTCAACAAAAATCCATCCTATCCCCTACAACAGCTTCTTCCTGCAAAAGTGCTATTGATACCAATGGTGGCTTCTTTGTCAAATAACAACAGCTGTTTGGGGTGTGGGAGGACAGCTAAGAGATTATCTTCATCTGGACTGCAGTGATGGGATAAAGGGCTAAGAGAAACCTGGTCCTGATCTTACTTATATACACAACACCACACACACACACACACACACACACACACACACACACAGTGAATGTCATAAATGGATTTGCAGCAATCCAGTGTCAGGAGCTGCAACAAGTGTGCTTAGAAAACCAGGGACGTGAGGCAAATGCTTGACTGGCGGCATACCTCACATCCTTTGGCCATAGCAAAGCCTCCTCCAAGCAAGATGATAATATTCCAAGGGACGCTTTCCTGGGCTTTTCTCCACGATAGCAAGGGTTCATTCTCAGTGTTTGGCGCTAGACAAAGAGGTTTATGAAGAGAGATTTAGCATTAGGTTTGCCCTGAGCCTCATGGCTGAACATTATTATTCTCCCAGTTATGTTTAGTCACACTTGTGAAAAAGAACATACGTGAATAATATAGCAGTAACCACATTTCAGCATTTTTAGTTTAGACAATGAAAACTGAAGGAACTGATGGTGATGTACAATTCTGAATAGTCTGGAAAGAGGGCAGAAAGGTACAGGATCCAGATGTGCAAAGCATATCAACTGATCCAAGAGGAAGACCTGCAGCTATAATCACTGCCAGAGGTGTTTATAGACTTGACTCAGAGGAGTGAACATGTATGCAACTGAGAACTGCCAGTTTGCTTTAGTTTACATAAACATTGTGGAACAATTTAAAAAAATTCACACCTTCACAGTGTTGAGGTAACTTATCTACATCAAGTGGTAAAAATGCCAGTTAAATCCATTTCAGTCCCAGGTTATAATGCAACAATAAGTGGGAAAAGTCAAAGGATGTGTGTGAATCCACTGTATCTCTCACAACCTTTCCCAACCAGCTGCCTTACAGATGTTTTGGACCACAACTCCCAGCATTCCTGACCACTGACTCTCCTGGCTCAGGTTGATGAGTTAGGAGTCGAAAACATCTGGAGAATACCAACTTAGGAAAAGCTATTCTAAAACTTGAGGCACATTCAGGGCAGACAAATGAAATAGATTAGGAGGGTGACTACCCAGAGAAGGGCCTTCTCTGCAGTGGCGCCCCAATTATCAAATACGCTCCCTAGAGAGGTTTGCCTGGTGTCAATGTTTTTTTTCCTTCATTCAGTGACTGGCAAAAACCTTTTTATTCTCCCATTATTTTAATATTTAATTGGTTTTAACTGTGATTTTATTGTGAATTGCTGGATGCTGTGCCATTTTTATCTGTGCTGTAAACCGTCCCGAGATGCTAATAATGGGACGGTCTATAAAAGCTTTAAATAAATAAATAAATAAATAAATAAATGACAGAAAAAGAAAATTCAACACTTAACTGACTGGTTTTGCTGCTATACAATGCAACTGAGATAGCTTTAAGGAAGATTCATCTTCCTTACGAAAGATATGTATATTCATGAATATTAATTGTGAAAACTAAATAGAAATGTGATATACAGTGAAAAATACCAAGCATATTGACAAAAGATATATTTCAATGCCCTTCTTCCTGGATTAAATGGAAAACATTCTGATCAATCAAGGTAATTCTTGTGGCCATGCCAATATATATTTTACTTCGGGCATCTTGCACCAGGCACCCAATGGCTATAAAGCAAAGTGTGGCATTATTGAATGAGCCCAGATGGGGCTGAGGTGGTCCTCCTTCCACGCCTCCAGTGCAGCTGCCAGGAGTTTGGAAGCTTTTGTTTCTGCTTTGCTTAACACAACTTGTCATGTCAAGTTACCAACTGCCATGTTTGAAACAAACCATGGTTGCTATTAACTGTAACGCATTAGTTTTGACAAGCTAATGAGCTGTAGCTAGGGAAAACAGAAGCAAACATGTCTGAACTCCTCATAATGTCACAGAGGAGGGGAGGTAAGAACATGCAAGCCTGAAATCCACGTAGTCTCGTTCACGTCGTGCTAATCTACAGCTTGATGCTGGAGTGCATAACCTTTTCTGGCCCAAGGGCCACTTCTTGCGTTAGCAGGGGCCAAGGAGCCACATACTCATATAGAAACACACATAGAGACATACACTTCTGTGTGCTACATACGGTTACTTATTATGTATGAGTCCCAACACCAATTTTACCAGCATTGCTTCCTTCCTGCAAACAGCGTTTCTCTGTGCCCCCTGCCAGGCTCAGAAACCATCAGACCAAGGGCTCTCTGACAGTCACTGAGACTTCTGGGAGTGGCTGGCAGGTAATCTTCAACTAGTCATTCTGAGGGCCGTTCTCACAGGGTTTGATGGATCCTGCCATCAAAGAGCTGTCCCTAGCACAATCCCCTCGGAAACTGGAAGACACTTTATGGTGAAATGGAGCTTTGCAGCTATAGAGACTGGGGGCCTTGCACCCCTGGTTTAGCACAAGCACCAAATGCCTTTTTTATATTTGTACCCTGAAAAAAACATGTGACCATTCCCACATATAGGCTTCAAAACAAAACGAAACATAAATATGAACTGGTGTAAGCAGAGAGGTACAGTGGCTAATAAGTCCTTTTTGTGTGACAGGCTAAGTGCCTCTGCAGAAAACTACTTATGGACTTTCAGCCAAAGCTGCATGGACAAAGGGAAAATGGGCCTGAGGCTTGCTGTACATGAATATTTCAGGTTTCAGATGATGATGTTCACACCAGCACTGCAGATTTTCCAAAAGCGCTTAAAGAATAATCACGGGTGCTTAGAAAAGCACAGACCTGGAGCAGAATGAAAGATAATTGCCTCTAAACTAAGATACTGAGAGCCAAAACACAGCCATGAAGGGACACATGTGCGCATGCACATTTAGTCTAGGGTAAGTTCAGGAGTCCTGATCTGGTTAAGGTTGGTTCAGAAGACCCCAACCCCACTCATACATTTTTTGCTAGCTGGGTTGGGGAGGGCTAGTCTGCTGGTCAGTGTCCTGCGCATGCTCAGTGCTGACGGCCAGAATCACCTCTCAGGTGCTGCCCAGACTCCCAACTCGACTTGCAAAGCTGGGTTAGGAGAAGGCAATTCTGCTTATGATGCTGATAGGCAGGATTCTGCCACCACCACCCGCCACTTCCCACCCAGCTAGTGAGAACTTTCTGAATAAGGTTGGGGAGCAGGTAGAAAGGACCAGTATGGATGCTTCCCCTTGCGGAAGCAAAATCAGCAGACCTTCCTCTCACCACCTACCTCCCATCTCAAGCCTTGAGTGGAGCTTGAAGAGCAGGAGGTGCAGGACAGCCAGAATTCCTTGGCCAGACTGGCAACCCTTTCGGTCACTCTTACCAAGGGACTAATATTTTGGCTTGGCGATGCCTAACTGTGTCACCTGGGTTCAGATGACATGCTAAGCCATGGGCAGTTGAAGTTGTTTATAAATCACCTAGAGTGTGTGTGTGTGTGTGTGTGTGTGTGTGTGCGCACACGCACGCATGCAGGGAGGGAGGGAGGGATTCTACCTAACATGCTAAACCACCCCTCCGAAGGCTTAGTTGTGTGAACTCAGCCACTCTTTCTGGATCTCACACACTGAGGTCTGTAGCATCACTGTGTAGATTGCCCACAGAACCAGCATTACATTGTAGCACATATTTACATCTGTCAAATATCAGGCATATTTGTCAAGTGTATTTTACAATGTAATGTTTGCATATCTCTTACCTTGTCCCAGCAGATGGGCTTCGTCCTTCTTTCATTTGCCCTTTGGATCTGCAGTGTTAATTTTCTACTCACTGCTCAAAGATTGTGAAATTTATGGCAAAGGAGAATCCGTAAAAGCTCATAAATGGATTTTTGTAAAGTGAGACATCCTGTTACACAAGAAAGGGGTCTTGTGATGAAAGGTAAGTATGGATCTGTTCCTTGGCATTGCTAAAGTCCTCGTGTTGAACAAGGAACAAGCCAAGCCACATCATCTTCTGTAGCCTCATCTCTGTACTCATGTTCTAGACATCTGCAAGCAATTTGTCCCATGTTCTACTTGCGAAGCATTGCACTGGCACAGAGGTGCAGTCAGAGGTGCAGTCAGAACATTGATGATTTGGGGAATTGGGGGTCTTTAACCCGGAAAAGAGATCCACCTGAAAAGGACTAACATTGCTAGGACATGCAGTAATTACTAGCCTTTCTTTGAATGCCATGACAACCCACCATGGTGTGCTCTGCCATCCAAACCTAGCCCTGTTAACTTGTTTTAGGATACTCTGCCCTCCTGGTGGCTCAGTGAGGTGTCTGAACTGGCAGTGCAACTTCATTGTGGGTTGTTGAAAAGCTGTTGAGCAAAAGTGGCCATAATGAACGCCATCTTTTGCAAACAATCTCTTTCCAAATTCTGCCTGGCAACAGCCTGCATTGCTATAGATCTGTCCTCCCTTGGCTTTCTCTTCCCCACCTCAAAGCAAGCTTGTCACCTCATTTGTCAGCAACCTCCCTCTCCCTCTTCCTTTCCCTTGTGAACAATTGACACAGTGACCTTGAAGGAACCTGCAGTTCTGCCAAGTTCACTTTGTACTCATTGCACCCTGCCTCCATTAACCTACATAAAATCAAGGTTTCTGAAAAGCGCCTGGAGAAGAAACCTCTGATTTAAGAGCCAGCATGGGGAAATGGTTAGCGTGCTGGACAGAGACTCAGGAGACCTTGGTTCTAGTCCCCAATCAGCCATGAAGCTCACTGAGTGACTCTGGGCCAGTCACTGGCTCTCAACCTAACCTCCCTTACAGGGTTGTTGAGAAGATAAAATGGAGAGGAGGAAGAGGATTCTTTAAGCTGCCTTGGATTCCTTGCAGGAAAAATGGTGAGACAGAATGAAAATTAATGCCTTGATTGAAGTAACATAGGCAGTACTTTGATCCTTAATCATGTGTAGAATTTCATTTTGTTTGTGCAATGGATTTGCAATGAGATCAACACACACAAACCTTTTTCTTACGTTTTTTCCACTACTGCTTGCCTATTCCTTCTTATAAACTGAGCCCAAATCTGTCCTCCCCATAATGGCCTTCTCTATGCATAGGAACCCAAAGCCTGTCCATTCTCCCACAGGCTGGGAAGAGATGAAGCTAGAACAGGAGAGGCATTTGACCAGGCATAGTAATAGGCAAAGTTGAACCACCTTTGCCTGGTATCGAGCACTTTTCATCAAACCCTAGGATAGAACCTGTGAGGGAGGAGGACTTTGAGTCCTCACCTACACTATCCTTTCCCCCTCTGGATCCTGCAAATCAAGCATCGCAAGAGTAGGACTTTGATGCATCTGGGACCATAACTGAGGTGTCCCAAGAGCATCAGAAAGTTCAGGTCTGTTTCTGAAATCAGAAGAAACTTGACACATTCACAGAGCTCTGAGGTTCAAGAATATTGGCAGAGTACCAGGTATGATCATCTTTCCCCCTTGTTTCCAGATCTGAGGCTTTCTACACTCCACCTTGCAGTGCAAGAAACAATTTCACTGCCTGAAGAAAATGTGTAAGGAAATCACAACTTAAAACTTGTGCTCTGGGGTCATGCCACACATTCTGCCATTCTATGAAAAGCTGGTGACTATTGTGCTTCATTTGAGGGATGCAATGCCTGATTATACTGCTAGAAGCAGGACTGCCTTGCCCCAAATTCAGGCAGTCAGGTATCATGCCATGAAGGCCTGCCTCTCTCCTACCCAATCCCTTGTCCCTGATTCTGAGCATGGCAAGTTGTGTCGAACTCTATACTGAGTGGCTACATGTATCCTGTACGCCCAAGCCACACAGCATCCAAGCTGCACCTAATTCAAGACCCCAAGTTGTTGGCCAACCACAGAAAGAGTTCTATCCAGAGCCTTTGGGAATTATAATATGCCCTATCAGTCCATCCCAGCTGTCCCTGGAAGCTGCCTGCTCCGCTTCTGGCACAAGTTCACCTCCTCAAGCACAAGAAGCTCAACATATTGCTGCAAGAAAAGCAACCTGTCCACCTAATGTTCTACATGGACCTAGAAATACTCTATCGGAAACAACCAATGTAGGCAGTACTATCTGAAAAGTCACTGGGAGTAGTTTTCCACTGAAAGTGCAGTCAGAGCTGCCCCCCCCGCCATGGGAGATATGGATATTGGCCCACTCAAGAGAGTACGTTTCTCCCACCTTTCCCATCCAAGCATCTGTCTCCAGAGAAGCAGTAGGACAGGGTGTATCCCAGTAGCTCTCTAGACCAGATGGTGATGCAGTTTCTCACGTGTGTGAGTGAAACCTGAAAGATGTGGGAGGTAAACTTGAAAGGGCCCTTCTCCCTGATCTGTCCCAGATGAGGGATGGAGGAGAGTCAATCCCATTAGACTTCACACATCCTAGTGACCCATCCTGCACTGTCCTTCCAGAAGAGTCGGCAACTGAAGGCCCTGAAGGAAAGGATGAACCTGAAGAAGAACAGCCTAAACCACCAGCAGAGCAACTGATTCTGGAAACTGCAGGTTCTATCTAGCTAAGGGAAGAGGAACTGGAGGAAGGTCTGCCACCACCAATGCACTATGGATGGCACTTCTCCAAAACAGGCATGGAGCCAACTGGCTGCCACTTGCAGGACTTGGTCACTGCTACTGAAGCATCAGGGAAGTGCACATATGAGCTTCCCAGGGAAATTAACAAACAGGAAAATGTTAAAAGGGTCCTGATCAGGGCATGTCTTGTCATCTTGCATCACAATGAAAAGCACCTGCTGTTCAAGGCGTGGCAGCCTCAGGTCTGTGAGCAGGCAACGGGAGCAAACTGTCACCACTGGCAGGAAGGCAGATGCTACTGCATGCTGGTTGCACCAAAGCCAACAAGTACAAGCTGCATCCCGACATTGCACCACAGCTGTTTTCCCCCACCAGCGACTCCTCCACAGCCATGGCACCATTCCGTGGCACCTCAATTGTCTCAACTCTCTGACTCATCTCCACCCCACTATGAGCCTTGCCAAGCAGGTTTCCCTGTGCGGCCCATAGCAGAACTTTTGGCCTCATCAGACCATGACTAGGGACAACTGAATGACTACTTGTTCTGTGACTTGAGCAGGAGGAAGCAAAGCAAGCAGGTCAAGGCATCTGCAGAGCAGCTGACACCAACCGCATTCTCCCATGCAAGGGCAAGCAAGAGAGAGGATGAGCGGGACCACAATCATACTCTCCATGAACAAGTGCAAGAGGAACAAAACCACAAAAGGGAATGTTAGGATCTGCGCATTTTCTCTGAAAAATACAAGTAAAGACTTGTTTCCGTGTGCCAAGTGGTGAGGGATGGATAGGAAAACCTTCCATCAGGATCCGGCAAAGGTGAGACAAGCTCAGAGCACCAAGAGGATCAAGAGTTAAAGGGCTGCTCGGTTTAGGAACGGAGCAAAAGATTGCAGGATGGCAATTTTATGGCAAAAGCACCTGGGTGCATGCCAGCAGCAGGAGGGAAGAGTGAGCTGGGTACAAGATCTTGGAGAGTCTGACCTTCAATCAGTACCATCATGGGTTATTCATCATGGGTGGCTTAGTGTGACATGCAAGCCATCTCAGTGAATGTCAGACCAATTGTGATGTCAGACCAATCCATTCCCATCTTGCTCTCCTGTTTGCTTGGCTGAATATTCTGAGCTTCTGTATGAGTTAATGGTTTGAGTGAGTGAATAGCCATGTATGAGTGAATAGTCATGACCTAGTGACTCTGTACACAGAGTCTTACTTTTATGGTCAGCTATACAGAAAATACAGATGACAAGGCTGGGTTCAAGGTTTCATAGGCCAGAGTCTTACCTTTTAGGTCAAACCACCATTTAAGGGATGGCTTTTTTGAAGGAAAGAAGAACAATATTGTCACTATTGTGACTCCAGTAACTGCATCTGTGACAAACCTAATATGGAGGAAGGGAGAATAAGTAACCAGGTTTCATTAAAAAAAAACTAAGATTTTACATCTGGTTTCAGGAACCCACACCATTTGTATTTCTGCGCCTAAATCTTTTCTGCATATTACAGCCCTAAAATAAGTAGCTACTCCAGCAGAAAACTCAAGAGTAAAGCATTAAACATACACAATGGAGATAATACAAAAGGAAAGCCTGCATTTTTTAAACAGCAATACTTTGACTATTGGTTATTGTCTGAGACCCAGTCCTACAACCATCTTCCATGGTTAAGAGGTTGGGAAAGTTTTGTCTCCCTCAAGCCTCAAGAAATTGGAGGAAACCCTTGAGTGGACTGTAGAAAAGTCCAAAGGCCATGTTGGCTACAAACACTGACTGAATAAAGATGCCTATATAAGTGGTCCTACAGAAAGCCATTAGTTGTCCTTTATCAAAAATACTTGGACATATTCTTATGGCCACTCCAACAATAAGTATTGCTTTCTAACATTTGTATACCCCTCTAATTTTGATGAGCCAAAAGCAGCCTTGAGTACTGAACCAGATTATTCTCCAAGACTGTATGCCATGAGTGACAGCGGGTTTTCAGGATTTGGGACAGAAGACCTTTGAGTTTCTGGTACCCAAGTTCTTGGAACTTCTAGCACCCAAAATATGAGGTGCTTAACATGTATGTGATCTACAGCCAGACTATTGTCATGGCTGTTGCTTTCCCCCTTCTTCAAAGCAGATCAGGAAAAAGGCTTTCTTACAATGTTAAAGCTGATCAGCTAGGCTGGCTCTGTAGTATAAAAGAAATGAATTGCAAACGTCAACAGCAAAAGAAATACTGGTCCTTAGGGAAATGCAGCTTAATGATAAGAAACTGACTCTTACCCTGGTGAAAATAAGCTTGCCCAACCTGTGATGAATTTAGGATCCCTGGAGAATAACAGGATAGCAAATAAGCAGAAGAGAACAAATACAGCCTGTTCAGCAAACCTGTAAAAGAAGGAAATATGGTGAGACATTGTAATTAAGACCTTTTCACCAGGTTTGCTTGAGATCAAGTTCACCTAGAATCAGTAGATGGATGGAAAGTGGCTAAGACTGAAAGGGCAGTGCAGTATAATGAGGAATGAAATGTTGAAGCAGCTTTGGATTTTCTCTGCAGGAAACACATGAGTATCTAAAGAACGGAGTGGCATTTCCAGTCCAACTTTCTCTTCCTACAATGGATAGCCATATATTTATGGAAGCCCACAAGCAGGATGTGTGCAGAATACCCCTCTGACTAGTATTGACAGGCTACGGTACCTTATTTTTGGAGGTAATATACACAACAAGTAATAGCCATTGGTAGCTTTCTCTTCCACGAATCTGTCTAAATCTGAGCAAGTTCATCTTGTGGTAGGAATGTTCATAGCTTAACTGTACTATGTGCAAAGAAGTCCATGCTTTTATTTGCTTTTATTTTATGAGCCACCCATCATTCAGCTTCAGGGGATGACCTCACATTCTAGTACCATAAGGGAAGGTGGAAAGCAGTCCCCCTCACCTCCCTCCCTCCCTCCCTCCCTCCCTCCCTCCCCCCCTCTCTCTCTCTCTCTCTCTCTCTCTCTCTCTCTCTCACACACACACACACACACACACACACACACACACACACACACTTATTTGATTTAAGGAAGGAGAGATAAATAAACCATTTGAAAATAATCTGGAGTTGCTAATCAAATTGGCAGTGGCTGTTTAATGGACTTTCTGTGCTCTTAGAATTAAAAAGCACCTTTGATTCTTACAATGACACTTTGCAGGTTACTGGTATATAATGACTTCAATGGATCAGCAGGGGATTAATTTCTTTCATAACCAGCCACTAATGCTGAAATCTTTATAAGTAGTTTTCAGGTTCGGTTTCTCTCAATGTATTTATTTTGCTGCATTTATATACCTGTGTTTACAGATTAAATTTACAAAGCAGTTCACAAGATAACAACTTAAGGAAACAGAACAAATGGCTAAAATTGGTCAGCATCAAACAGCTTAGGTTTTGTTCCTTTTCAAAAAGCAGCCAAGTAGGGTGCTACAGAATAAGTTCCATTCAACATGGTGGGACTTGCTTCTGAATAGGCATGCATACATTTGCACTCTAAAAAATGGAACTAGGACCTTGCCAAGTACTAGGGCAGGACTCCTGTGGAAAAACACCCCCCCCCCCCATTGTCCAGGCCCAGACTCTCTGCGGCATGATAGGTCCAAGCCATCATCTTGAATTCATCTGGGAAACAAACTGGCAGACAATGCTGTAGTTGCAGAAGAGGTGTAATATTTCTGTCTGCCTGCCTCAGAAAAAAATGGACAAGAGTATTTTGAGTATAACTTTTCTAAGTTTTATTAGAAAAGTTAATAAAACTTTTCTAAAGAATCCTTAAAGTCATGACCATATAAAGCATGTTACAGGGGTGTCACCAATGTATGTATTTCATTGCCCATTGGAAGCTCACAACAAAGGCCCCCACATGAGTCTCAGAGCAAGCAAGCTGTTATGTCTTCACCATTTCTTTTTAGTGTGTGGATGTACTCAAGCATAAAAGCAAGCTTCCTGCATGGCTAAAGTACATTTCAAAGCAATCAGTCTAATTTCATCTGCTGGACTATGAAAATGAAAGGAGTGATTGGCACTGCATAATTTATGAAATCAAACCCCTTTAATTCCCTGGGCAGAACTTTCCTAGCTTTTGTGATCATTACATACACTATTATTCATGGAGACTTCAGTTCATCATTCATTTGTCTGTGGGATCAGTCATGAGCACACTGGTGCTACAAATGTCCAAAACTCAGCAGAATGGCTAATTGGAGATTTAATTTGTTCTTTGCTTAAATAATTTAACAGGTTAATTAAGCAACACATTGTCAGCCACCAAGTTTCAAGCTGATGCCACAGTTTAAAATTCACTGCAGAGACACAAGTTGAGCTAACGCTCCTTGAACAAGTAAACCATAGTTGGGAACTAGTGTGCCTTTAAAAATAAACACCAAAAGCCCCAAAGAATAGATATGACAGAGGTTTCTCACACTGCAACACGTAAGTGGGCAGTCTATACTTTGCAGGTAACATTCAGAGGCCTTGGCTGTGGCTTGTTCTGGTTGCCCAAACCAGAATTCTCTCCCATAAGGCCATTGTTCAGCTGTTAAGACGACTAAGGGAGAAATAAGCTGCAGGACACTTGATCTCCTGTTGGGAGTAACATGGATTAGAAAACAAGCAACCCACCATAGGCTATTCTCAGGGAGAGGAGAGGAGAGGAGAGGAGAGGAGAGGAGAGGGAAAGCTGTGTGTGTATTTGATAGTAAATTTGGGAGCAAATTTACTGCTGCCTTCTACTGCCACTGCCATGTAGATTATTGCTGCATCTGTCCCTTGGGGTCAAAAAACATTTCTCATCCCTCTCAAATAAAATGCAGACAGACAGACAGACAAGATCAGCACAGCAAACTAAAAAAACCTACAAAAAGTATCATATACATCTGTGATTTGTGCATCTGTGATTTCTATGAAAGAAATGGGAAGTAGGAGAGAAACCCAGGGTCAGACCTACTATGAGTGACAGTCAGGCAGCTGCCACAGACATTTAATTCTGTGAAACAGAGAAGTATGAAATATTTAACGTAGTATTATTTCATTGTTAGTGACTGGGAGGGAGTAGAAGTGCATGTTGGATTTTTCTTGCTCAGGTGCCAAGGTTGACTAGCCCTGCATACGCACCATCACTCTGTGGGGGGAGATACCATTTGCTGTCACTCCACCTCAAAAAAAGGGGGGGCAGCCCTTGCCCTTCTCCCAAGCACTGATTCTCCCTTACAAATCCAATCACCTGATGCTCAAGGCTATTTCTAACCCCCAGCCAGTCTTACTTGCAGTCTCAGAATGAAAACAAGCTTTAAAAGGCCTCTTGTACACAGCTGCTTCTTCCTCTCCTGATATTTTTGCCATCTTGTTTGCTTCTCATTGTGACTTACTTGATAGGTCCCAGTTTCTGGTAATCCTCTGTTATTACTGCTCTGGCTCTTGCTTCTGCATCAGCTCGTATATCCGATTTCTTCTTTCTCCAGCCCCTGACAACACACAACAAAGGAGGAAAAGAAAGGCTTCATTCTCACATTTGCAAGCACATATACCTTCCCACCAGAGAGTGTTGGCTTGGACTCTATGTGTCCCTTGATGCTGAGAGACAGCTGGGCAGACCAGAGCTGGTATTAAGGGCTGGCATGTCAAGGGATTCACACTCCACAGTCCTGTTGAGGAGGAGCAGTAAAGGCCACTGCCTGCTGACTCACCGACTCTCTACCTGGCAAGCATGAAGGTAATAGCAGTGCCGAGGAAAAGAAGGAAAAGCAGCACCAGGAGCTGGTGACAAGGTTACTGAAAAGCTACAAAGGGGACCATTTAGAGTTTCTTGGCTGAGGGTCCCCAAAACCTGGGCCAGCACAGGGGCAGACGACCGTATCACACGTACAGAACCACAGAGAGGGGGAAAGGGAGCCCCTGCTAACATAAATTGGATCTTTAAAAAGGTGTGCCATGACAGTTGACATGCCATGAGTGGGAATGTGGATAGCATTTCAGCACCTCATCAAACAAAAGCTCCCAGGATTCCTTCCTATAAGTCATCTCTACGTATCTTTATATTTAAATGTGTTGCACTAAAGAATAGCAGTTTAGGGTGCAATCCTATGGCTGGCAGGTGCTGCCTGGACCTGAACTCCTCTCTCACAGCGAGTTCCTTTCTGCACGGGCTGCAGTTCTGAAGACAGAAGATGTGGAGAGGGAGGAAGCAAGGCAACACTGTTCTTCGAAGAAATTAGCCAGTGCCTCAGCCTCTCCTTCTTGCAAGCAGAGACAAGAGAAATGGACTCTTTGTGGGGTAGGGAATGATTACAGGCAAGCTTTGCCTCTGTGCTATTCCTGTGCTCAGCTGGATGCCCATAACCAGCTGAGTTCAGAGGGTTACAGCCAGGCATCCTACTTCAATGCATTAAAAAAATAAAATACAGTATCATATGACAAAACACATTTTAAAGCAAGCAATTCAAACTTGAAACTATGTTAATGCTATTCCAGTAATGCAAAAGCACTGAAAAGTTTAGTTGCTCCCCTGAAGTTTGTAAGATACACCACCCTAGAGAAAGAATCTGAAACTGAAGGTTAGCCACCCAGAGTCAGGGGTCAGTTTAAGTGGGCAGTCACTTCAAAAGGGTCCAGCTTGGTCTACTTCTCAGGAGACATTCCTAGGATTGCACTGTAAAAGGCTCAGCAAGCCATAGGAATTTTGCTGTTGGTTTGTTCCCTTTCTCCAAGCTCATCCAAAGAAGGATGAAGTTCATCTCTTGGAAATTAGGCAGAAGATCCTCAAACCATCCACACTCACAGAAGAAGCTTCTTATTGGTTATTTAAACCTGCATTCACAAGAATGATTCATCGCACCTCCTGTAGTAATTTATCACCTCTATGCATCTTCCCTAGAGATAAGAAAGTGGGCAGGTTTGGGTAAAGGCATGGTACACTGCAGGAAGTGGCTTCAAAATCACCCCGGAGTCCTACAACGAATAGGAGGTAATTTTGAAGCCACCCTACTTGCCTGGTTCAGATGACATAGCAAGCTGTGCTCTGCAAAGGCAAATAGGCAAACTGCCAGATGCATGCCCAGCATACACAGGGGCAGGGATACAGAGCTACTGCATCTTGTCATGAGCAGAGCCGGCTGGAGCCAGGGGTCAGACTGGATGGCCTGAGAGAAACCTTCTGACTTGCTCTGTTTCTATGTTTCTATCTTCTTGTTCCCATGAGTTTCTCCTTCACTTACACATTTTTTGGGTAGTCGAAGTGCAAAGTGCTCACTGATGATCAAACAAAATATGAGGAATTTTGAGAAGTAACAGCTGAAATACTCATGTGCCACTGGTTATTAATCAGGCTAAAACTCTTTAGTAAGCAGTGTTGGGCTCCTATGTGGTTTGACCTTCCCTGTTTCTCATCTCTCTTCTTCACCCACTAAGATGTTACATATGAAAGACTGTTCTATCCCATGGATCCATTTTCCCCATCCTGCTGCCCTCCAGTATATTGGATTAATCTCCCATTTTCTCAGCCAGAACATCTAGGAGGTGCCAATTTGGGGACGCCAGCCCTGGATTTCCATTAACCAAGCACATCCCATCAAAAGAATAGTCTATCCTATATTATATGTTCTGTTAAAATTACGAATATGACTCTTTTAAACTTATGAATAAGAAGAGTATTCCAGAGGAAAAGGTTGCCTGTTTATACTTAAGCTATTTAAGCAAAATGGGAAGCAAGCTGATTAAAAAGTGACGTATTCTAGGGAAATAAGTTTGTAACACAGTTTCCTTCTCTTTTCCAATTATGTTCTTTTTCTTTTTAAACAAGAACCTAAGCATCAAGAAGTTCCACTTTAAAAATCAAGCAGCTAGACAATGTTGAGGAACACTGTACCTGAATTCAAATCCCTGTACAGCAATAAATTCTATGGACACTCCTGGGCAATTCTCTGTTTTTTGGCCTTACTAGTCCTTATCTAGAAAAAGTGAACAGTGTGTTATCCTGCTGAGTGTACAAATAAGCAAAAATGTGTGTAATGCACTTTGACCATTAATAGTGTTTTGTGCATTACTAAAAGCAATAGTGTTTGTAGTAATGTAATAGCTACCCCTGCACCAATTCTCTGATCTAAATTGCACATCTGAAGCTAATCTACCTAATAGAAAAATAGGCAGCTATAGGGACCATATATGGAACTGATATCATTTTGCTATATATAATAAATATTCTCTGCAGGTTTAATAGTAGGCTATAGAATGTCAGAAGTGTATTTTAACAATACAACAGTTTAACTGAGATAGGAATAAATGGTCAGTTCTCCCAATAGAGGGATGTAAATGGCGGGGTCCCACAGGGAGTTATACAGGAAGCAACACTTTTCAACTTGGTCATCAGTGAGCCAGAATTCAGGGGAGCAGTGAGGCCCCCAGGTTGCTGTTGACACTAAATTATTTAGGGTGGCTAAAACAAAAAGGAATTGCAAAGTACTCCAAAAGAACGTGTCCAAACTAGAGAATGCACATCAGATGGCAAATGCTGCTCAGTCTATACAAGCATAAAGTGACACACACTTGTACACTGAATTAGGTAGAATTAGAAAAGAAACTGAAAATAGAACTACACAGATCATACTCCTCTTATGCAACTCTGTCATGTGGGCAGAGCCGGAATACTGTGACCAGTTCTGATTACCACACCTTCAATAAAGGATATTGTAGAGCTGAGAAAAGTACAGAGGGGCCACTGAAATGATCAAAGGCCGAAGCAACTCTTTTATAAAGAAGGGTTGCAATAGCTGGGACTGTCAGTTTATGTACACGTATCCATCTACATTTATATACATAGTTAACTATGGAATTCACTTCCACCACATTACCACACCAATTTGGGTGGCTTTAAAGGGGATAAGGCAAATTTATAGAGAAGAAGTCTATCCTTGGCTTCTAGTCCTGATGGTTATATGCTGCCTACAGTATCAAAGGCCTATGCACATCAGTTGCTGAGGAATTTGGGCAGGTGGGTAGCTATTTGTGAAGAGAGTGCTGGACTATACTGAATTTTGGTTTGATCCAGTGTGACTCTTTTTATGTTTTTAATGTCTGTAGTGAATTGAGATGACTATTGGAATGTATGTATTTAAAAACTACAGAAGACTGGCTAAAAGCTATATGCAACTCATCAGCAATGCCTCTAATCGAAGCACTGTGTGAAGGAGTCCAGAGAGCTTTGGGAGGATGTAAATAGCAAGATTAGCAACAGATTTACGATAAAACTTGTTACTGCTCTGTTACCGATTAACAAATTGTGTAATGAAATCACTGAAGCTTAATCCTTGTCAAATGTAACATGTTCTGGGCCAAATTTCAAAATGCAGACTTTATACCCAAACCTACAAAACTAGCACAGCATAAAACTCTGCTCCTGAAAAATATTAGATCTCTTCCCATGAACTTAATATGCACAAATGCCAAGCTTCATTCATTCTTCATTCATGAAATGAAGGCCCATGTGGCTAAAGAACTCATTAAGGAACAGATTTATAAAGCAAACAGTTTAAAAATCTGTTCTTTGCACTTTGCCCTTTTTATAGCAACTTATCAAAACTGCAAACTTTGGAGCTCAAAACTTATGCCAATATATATCACCTGATGATCCACTGTAACTTGGTAATAAATTTCTGGCACAGCAATTCAGGAATCAGGGCATGATGATCTATATTGATCTTGTGCTGGGTTTTATGTAATACTAAGCCATAATTTAGCATGATGTGCTTGAGTCACTGCAAACCCAGTCACAGCCTCTGGTTTGTGTACTCCCTCCTCCAGACTCCTCCTCCATGACTGGAAGAAAGAATTGATTATTAAACAGTTTTATTTTTCTTGATCCCTGGCTTATTGTTATGTACGAGCCAGGAATAATAGGTTAACATGAACTGTTGATTGTTCAAACAAGCCAGAAGAAAAACCAGGACTTGTTTTTGGCTTGTTCAGTGATTGTGTTTAGCCACAAATGCCTGGTTACTATGTAATAACAAGCAAGGATTCAAGGAAGTGAACCATAGTTAATTACTCTCTCTGGCTGCATGGGAGGAGGAGAGGCAAAGAGACAGAGCACAAGCCCAAAGTTTTGTGAGGACTTGAAGAGCCTCATGCATATAATACTCAATCCTGGCTTACTATTACCAGTAAACCATGCCATTGAATCTGCCATCAAAGCACAAAGGCCTTTTTAAGAAATCATAATCAAATTTTCAGGTCAAGCAAAAAAAGAAATAAGTAAATTACCAAGTGCAAAAGTAAAATTATAAAGCTAGAACATGTAGAGCAGTCTTTCCTAAACTTGTGAGGGGCTAATGGGAGTCGTAGTCCAAAACATCTAGAAGGCAGCAAGAAATGAAGAACTACATAGAAAGCTATATTGATAAAAGTTAATAAAAAACACATCTATTCACCATAAAATCTTGCATTCCCGTCTTGCATCCTACTCCGCTTGAGTCTAATAAATTAATCTTTGAGGTAAGTATTAAAATACAGTTTTTCAATGCTATGCTTTATTTACTGAGAGCATAACATGTCTACAGTTTACATATATTATTGTTTATTAATGTTAACTCTACATATGCTTTTCTTTTAGAAACATAGAAACAGAACAAATCAGAAGGGTCTCCTGGGCCATCTAGTCTGACCCCTGGCTCCAGCAGGCTCTGCTCATGACATGCCTATCATGTGCATGTCTAGCCTATTCTTGAACACCCTCGGTTATTTTAAGTTTCATTGTTATAGGTTTCACTAATATCTAGATTAGGTCTTCTCAAATGAAAATATAGCAGTTCCATTCAGCCACAAGGACTTTTGGTGACTATGGTCTGCTTGGCTCAGTATTTTCTGTCTCCAATCTGGCACTCTTTAGAAGTGTCAGACTACAACTCTCATCACCTGCAGCCAGCATGACCTTCAACCTTGGAAGCTGGAAGTTTTAGTCCAACATGACTGGAGGGTCTCAAATTGGAGACGTGTGAGCTATGCTGACTGGCAGCAACTGTGGTTTCAACAGAGGTCTTTCCCCAACCTACCAGATTCCAAGGACTGAAGCTGAGACCTTCTGTATGCAGAACAGGTGGACTGAGACTGATCTACAGTTCTTACACCAAGTTCAAGACCTTAATTTTGCCATTTATTTATTTAAAATAGCTCTTATCCACCTTTCAGGGCAGAAGCCCTCCCAAGGTGGCATGCAACAATAAAACACATAAAATAAATACAATATTACAAGTAGCAACACAAAATAAAAAGACAAGAGCACAATAAAAAGCAGCAACATTATCAGGAGGAGACCAGAGTAAAATAATCTCTTTTATATTCTTCTTAAAAGAACATAAAACTGTCGGAGTGTAGCAGTCCCCCAATGGCAACTCACTCCAAAGCTCTGGGACAGCACAGAAATCCTTGTACATGTGATTATCCATCGACCTGCTTACCTGGTAGGTAGATGAGAAGGACCCTTTTTGTTGATCCTATAGTGCTGGCAAGCTGATATAGAGGAAGGCAGTTTTCAGATAATTTGGTCCCAAACCATTTAAGGTTTTAGAGACGAAAACCAGCACTTTAAATTGGACTCGGAAATGCACTGGCCACCAGAGCAGTTAGCACACCACAGGCATGACATGACTGAATCGCCTCACCCTTACCAACACTAATGTGGCTGCATCCTGCCCCAGTTGTTTTACATGAGAGAGATCCCAAGAACTACCATGCACAGTCTCCTCTGCACCAATGCGACGACCGGCCAGAGAACCCCTGATCTAGGTGGCCTGCATCAGTTTTCCTCTTCTAAAAAATGGTTCTAGGTGTTCCCCTCCTTTTCCTGTATCGTAACAAGAAAATAGAAATGGTCCCAACTATGAAAGAGAAGGCCTGTTCAAGAGTAATCCCATGGAAAACATCTCAAACATTTTAGCAAAAGCTCGGCTGAATTGGTTACTTTGACCATAGCTGAAACCAAAGTCAAATAAATCGGACTTGAAAGTACCTTAAGCTAATGCATCCATAAAGGAAGGAGATCCACAGCCATCCGAGAAAAAGGAAAAGCAGCATCAGGGGAAACGCAAATACGAACCAAGAGCCAAAATTCACAACATCGCATCCTGGAAAAAAGCTTTAAGGAGAAAGCCCAGTGAATGGAGGGTAAAGAAAGCCCTTTCAATCAAGACTACCAAGCATAATCATATCACACAAACATTCCAGATGTGTTTTTTAAAATATGCTTTACTTATAAAATAACTTCACAGAATGTCGATGCTCTCCAAAGGTTTTGGATTACAACACCCATCATCTAGCCAACATGAGAGCACAGCACCAGTTTCTCCTTCCTCATTGCTTAAGAGTCATTTTTGTACAAGTCCAGAGGCCAATTTGTTACCTTGCCTCTCCTGGTACACCCAGGCTTTGTTGTAGGGTCACTGGATGGTTTATTAACCACCTAAGCAAGTCATGTTTCCCGGATTCTCATGTAACTATGTCCAGTGAGAGTAATTAAGAAGACAAGCTGGAACACAGTGGACACTTGCAGGGCACCTTATGTCATGCCAACCAGGTCAGTGCCAGGGCATTTATTTATTTATTTATTTATTTATTTATTTATTTATTTATTTATTTATTTATTAATTAAAACATTTCTATGCCATCCCTTGCCGAAGCCTCGGGGCGGCTCACAGCATAGAATAAAATACACAATAAATTAAAAAAATAACAATTAAAATATATACATTAGAATAAAATAAGCCGCCCTGGCCAAATAAAATTCAATAGTATTAACATTAAAATGCTGCTTAAATAAAAAGGTCTTCGCCTGGCGCCGAAAAACAAATAACGACGGCTCCAGGCAGACCTCTCTGAGGAGCGCATTCCATAACTTAAGCGCCACCGCTGAGAAAGCCCTCCTCCGAGTAACCACCCTCCTAATTTCCTTCACTGAGGGCTCCCGGAGGAGGGCCTCTCCCGCTGATCTCAGGGGGCGGCTGGGCATATATGGATGTAAGCGCTCCTTCAGGTAACCAGGACCCAAGCCGTTTAGGGCTTTATAGGTCATCACCAACCTTTCCTCTCATCAACACCAAGGTGTATCCAGTTCCCCACCCATCCCCTTCCCCAATACCTCTTCAGCTGTCCCGAAAGAATGAGATTTGGTGCAGTTCCAGTTAGTGTTGCTGTACCACCAATGCTGGCCGCATAAGGGATCGAGATGAGGAAGCCTTTCCAAACATTTGTCTTGAATTCCTCCTCCTTCCTTACATCTGTAGAAACTTCTATTGTGACTTCCTTCTCCTCAGTCAAGTCTTTCCTTGAAAACATTCCATGGTGGCAATGTATGTAATCTATTATTCCCAAATGACTTAGAATTGCTTCATTTGCTTGTTCTCATTTCCATAGCTGCTGTTTTTGCAAAATATACTGGAAAATAGCATCCACTGGTCTTCAACCAGTGATAAAGAGGGCTGTCAGATGAATCATGCCCTATCTGAACAGTGAATTGCAGCATCAGCAAGAGTATTATTCCTCTTTGTCTTCCCCTCCCTCCCTTCCCACCTCTCTCTCCAACTTAGGGTTCTGTTTTTCTTTTACAGAGAATCAGACAGAGAAAGAAGGTAACTAGATAAAAAGACGGAGGCAGGGTTTCAATACATTTAATAGCTACCATATTTTTCGCTCTGTAAGACGTACTTTTTTCCCCCTCAAAAGTAAGGGGAAATGTCTGTGCATCTTATAGAGCGAATATGTGTGTGCCCGACGCCTGGGAAGCTGCTGGCCCGGCGGCACCACGTGGCACCACCTGGCCAGCACGCGTTCAGTGCGCCCTGCTCTGCCCCCCCTCCTCCGGTGCAGGTGAGAACTGTGCCACTCAGTGGGAGAGATGCGGAGGAGGAGGAGCCGCGGGCTTTAACCCACCGGCCGCACGGAGAGACGGAGTGCTCACCCCCACCGCCTGGGAAGACCTGCCGCCACCGCTGCGCCACCCGGAAGACCACCGCTGGCACACTGCCAGCCCGGCTGCACCACACCTGGCTGGCACGCGCTCGGCACACCCTGCTCCGCCCCCCTCCTCCGGCGCAGGTGAGAGCTGTTAATCACAGGTCAGTGTGTGTTTTCAAATGGCAACCCGTCTTTTAATGAAGTCCATGGGGAAGTGATGGGGAATGTGCCTGTGATTATCAGGAAGCTTTCCATGGATCCCTCCTCTAAAAACTAGGTGCGTCTTATGGTCAAGTGCATCTTATAGAGCGAAAAATACGGTATATAGGAGAGAGCACAAGGACAAAGAATCATATTTGATGATCACTGCCTTCCTCTTCCAACTTTCATAGAAACTTTATTTTAACTTACTCATCAGTACTTGCTAGAAGCTGCGTCTCTGTTGGCACTACATGCAATTTGTTCTGGAGTACAGAAGCTGAAAAAGCAAGATTTCCAGAGAGTTTTTAACTACACAAAGAACACTTCCTCAACCATATTTAAAGCAGGGGAAGCTGCTGTTTGAAAAAAGTAACATTACAAATCCCAGCCATGAGTGGTGGCAAAATAAAACAGGCAAGTATCCAGAATGGATCAAAGTGAGACTTGCCTCTGACAGGTTGGCTTGGTAAAAAATAAGCATCTGGCCCCAACTGCAATTTAAAGACATCTTAGGGTATAATCCTGTGCCCCCCCCACAATTGTCTGTGGGCCCTGGGATAGGTTAGGGCTCCACCTTTGACCTTGAAAATGCCCTCCAAGCTAGGCTCCAAAAACAAGGGAGCTAACAAGGCAGGGGAGACAGGAAGAGCAGCTAGGCAGCAGCATCCTCCAAGGCATCCTGAGAGTGTCACAGCCTGTCCCCCTAGGAAGCAGGGGGGAAACACTGAGAAGGCTTAGAAAGAGGACAGAGTGCAGAAGCAATCCTAGACTCTGCCTGCCTCCCACCTTCTACTAGATGCCTGCAATCCACCAAGTTTGGAGGGCTCTGGGCAGCTACATTGGACAGCGTCCTTAATGATGTTTGCTCAGTAATAGTTCACTCACAAATTCAAGACACCATTTGATGCTCCAGCCATGCAGGTCCAGGAACCAGTCTTGTGTCTCTTATTTTCTTTTTCTTCCAATTGCCCCTGCCTAGGAGAGCCTGTGCAGTTTAAAAGCTTGCACACAATTCTTTATGCAATTAGCTGGCACCATAAAAAGGTATTGCTTAACTAATCTAACGTTTCTGTATCACTGATAGACATCAAATATTCTAGAAGCTCAGATTTGTTTGACCACAAAGAAAGTAAGGGGTATAAACATAAGATAAGGCACCAGATGGGATTCACTGGCAGGAGGATGATAAATCAGCTCAATCATTATTCTGGGCATGGCCAGGACTGGAGGAATAGGCAGATGAGGGTACCAATGAGTGCAAGAGGTATCAGGACTTGGTCCCATGGGCCAAAAAAGGCCCTCCAGGGGGACCAATTCAGTCCTCCATATGGCCTTGCCTTCTTGTTCTGACAGTTTGATGGTTTCCTGGTTTTTCCATGAGTTCTTCCCATTGTAAAAGTTGAAATGATTCTTCCTAGACATTCTTGGTCAGCAGTAAGCACTTTTGCCTTTGGATCAATACTTTCAACCACAACTGGGGCTCCCGCACTTTCTCTAGAGTACAAAAGAAAGAAGGCTGCAAGGGTTAGCTGGGGCTTTAAAGTACCACCCACTTTGTGCCTTGTGAAGATACAGTTGGAACACCTGGGACATTTCACCTTGAAGCCATTATACCTGCTGCAATTTTAGGCCAACTAGCATATTGGAATCTTTCATGACTTTGGATGAACAGAAACATTAGGGGGTTTGTTTTGTTTTTTCTGGAACCCAGGAAACTACCAAGGTATTATACCTCAACGAAATGTTTGACGTTGCCTTTTTCCATGGTTTATTATATTAATGCATTTTTAGCAGAGAGCCAGGATTGGGATCACTAAACCCTGGAATGTTCTATTGTTCATTTATTTGTACAGAACAAATGCCCTTTTGATCCTAGATTTCCCAGCACAAACTTTTCCATTTGGAAACGTGGCCTACTTTTACCCATTTCCCCATATGAAGAAAGCACACTGTGGTCAAAGTCTGCAGACTAACCCACTCTGCTCTAAAAGGCATGAAGGTCTAGTGCTGCTCAGTGAACCGGTGCCTTTCGCAATGCCATGTTCTACACCACTATTTCAATAGCACTGAAATTGCTACTTCTTACTGAAGCAATACAAATATGGCTCACTTCTATGGCCACAATAACAAACAGGCAGGAATTACAAAGAAGAATACTAACAGTGGGAGCCAGTGTGGTGTAGTGGTTAAGAGCGTGGGACTGGGACTCAGACGATCTGGGTTCTAGTCCCGGCTCAGCCATGGAGCCAACTGGATGACTTTGGGCCAGTCACAGACTCTCAGCCCCACCTACCTCACAGGGTTCTTGTGGGGATAAGATGGAGGAGGAGATTGATGTAAGCTGCCTTGAGCCCTTTGTAGGAAAAAGGCAGGATATAAATCCAAAAATAAATAAATGAAAATAAATAACACACTGCACATCCTCTTTATTTTATACACTGCAACTATTCACATCTCCAGTTGTGTACAAGTTGTTATAATATAGCCACTGATGCCCAAACAATGGCCACTGTGCACATGTGCAAAATGTTGCTGTCCATGATAGCCCCGTTGCCTAATGGAATATTACTCCACGGGGTCCTGTCCTGTGACTTCGGGTACCGCTCTTCAAAGGGGTTACTGCTGAACTGGGGAGGCTGAAAAGCCCCTACACATGCTTAGGCCTTCTGAAATTAACAAATATGTACAGTCTTTGACTAGCAGAGGTTGCTAGTCCTTGCACTATCTATAAAACCCATAGAAATCTTATGCATATAAAAGGCTTTGCTTGTGGCGCCCTTGAAAAATGTGGCCCATAGGGTTACCCCACATGACAGGGCATTTTTAGTGGTGGCATCCCAGCTATGGAACTCTCTGCCAGTAGAGATTTGGCTGTCCCCCATTCTGTTGTTACTTAGAAGCCAGTCAAAGACTTGTTTATCTGTGCAGGATTTGAGCTTATAGGCAAGTGCTCTACTTGTGTTTTGACTGATGGTTTTATCATATACTGCATTTTTTCAGAGTTGTGATTTTAATATGGTGTACAGTGTTTTATATAGCTTGTTAGCTGGCCTGGGTTCTTTGTGAGGAAGGGTAGGATATAAAATAAATATATCCTGCCCTAGCTGAATTAGATTTCAAAATGTTAGACTATTTGGGGGAAGCAGGCTTCTAGGCCTTCAGAAGTCGGTCATTCGTCCATATTCTTCTGCTACATGTTAAAGGAAGGCTGGGAAAATCTCTGGCCCTCTAGGTATTGACTCCAACTCCTATCAGCTCCAGCCATCAAGGCCAATTATAAGGGATGCTGGTAGCTAACACCCAACAACATCTGGAACGCTACAGGTTTCCCATGTGTTAAGAGACTATGTTTTCTTATATTTGAGTCGCTTATCTGCACTTACAGAAAGCATATGCAACAACCAGGAGTTCGCATACAGCTGCCATAATATCAACAGATTATTAGCTTATCCATCCAGCAGAAAACTTCTGAACTATATTGGAGTGATGCATTAGATGGGAAAGTAGTTTCTTAAAGCAAATTATGTGGTTTAAGGGACAAATTGTTCTCATTCTTAGCTGACAACTGGAGAAATAAAGTCATTCCCCTTAGCTTACTGGGGGCATACAAAAGGTAGATATTTCTTGTTCCTGAACTGTCTCTTCTGGATAGACCAAAAAAAAAAAAAAAAAAAAAGGAAGATGGAACCATTTCTACATTTCCGAGCATTTCATGCATGACCTGTTTGACTTATCTTTTCATATTCCCCCAATACGTATCAGAAGAAAACTAACTGTGCTTGCTTTAAATTCAAAAGATAACACCTGCCATCTCTGCTTCATTTGGGGAGAGATAATTCCCATAGCACTTCTGCTGCCCTCTAGATAGTTTTGGTTGATAGGAGACAAAGTCCAAAACACCTGGGAGACGCCAGGTTGGGAAAGTCTTGATCTTTTTGCCACAATTTAAGTCATTAGAGCTCTACTTGCAGAGATCACCAAAGTGGCAACATTCTGCTCTAAAACATGCAAAACTAAGAGACTGGAAAGGGTTATATGATCATGCAGCAGGCCAGCTTTCCTAAACCTGGTGCTCTCCAGCATTCTTAATATCATGCTACCTTAAGGCTGATAAGGATTAAAGTCCAAAATATCTGAAGGTGTGAGAAGGCTGAACGAGGCTCTGAGTACCTTTACCCCAGTGCTGCAATCTAGCCTAACACTTGCACTCAGCAGCAGCAGCAGCAGCAGCAGCCAGCCTGAGCCAGCCAGCCAGCCAGCAGAGCTGTTTTACAAAAGCTGGATTAAAGCCATGTGATCCGCTTGCACCATGCAGGGAATCTGAGGTGGGAGAGATGTCATCTCAGATTCATGGAGGGAAGAAAAACCATCTCCTGCACAGTATCACATGCCCCAAAGGAAAACAGGCATCAGGCTTCCAGAATCTTAGTTGTTTTTTGCTGATTCACCAACCAGACCCAGATGCCAAACAGTGTTCTAGTGGTGCAGATGTACATTTTAAATTAAGCTCATGTCCAGGGCAAATATTTCTTGATTTGTTCTCTGTACCAAACATGAGCTTTCAGGTCTTTTTTCCCAAGTTTTCTTAATGTGGCCTAATTCAGAACCTGGAGAGAGAGTTCTTTTTGCTGTTGCCATTGTTAAACAATTGGAGTCAGATATCTTTGCAGATCTACTACAAATCTTCTAGAGAACTACTAGTAGATCCCAATCTACCTTCTGACCAGTGTTTTTAAATCTTTACAATCTAAAGGCTTAGCACAGAAACCTCTGTACCTATTTGTTTGAAATCTAGCACTCAGAAAGGGCAAATTTCCAAGTAGATCAATTTCATCTGATTCTCCTAAAATTGTAAATATATGGTATGTATCAATGAAGAGGCATAGGAAGCCTCAGATTTTCTGAAGCAAGAGTCTTCTACCAGCCTGAGCTGAAGCAGGTCTTGCTCAAAGTAATCTAAGCCCAAACAGCCTACCTTCCAAAGCACTGAAATCCAAAGCTAATCTTGTCTTCAGTGCATCTCCAAGTGATCACAATACCTACCTTTATGAATCTGTGGAGTGGGATAGAGAATCACATTTTCCTAGTACTGATGTTTGAGTATGTTGTTTGAGTACGGCCAAAATGCAATATTCTATCAATGCGGGGTGCCTGAATTATTTTCTATGATACCTCAGAAGCCAATGAGTTTATATTTGTCAAAAGAGAAATCTAATTATTAGCAATCTTGGAAGGTTCCAGTCAGACTTACCTTGGTTTTCTTCCTTGTCCCTGTTGTGATTCCTAGATGTTCCTTCATCTCCAAAAAGACTTTTCAGAACAGCAGTTGCAATTGGTAACATCATGGCAGTAGAGGCTGTATTACTTAGCCACATGGACAGAAAGGAAGTGGTCAGCATCATTCCTAAAATGAGCCTATAAAAAGAAAGAAGGTAAGGCCTAGCAGCCAGAGTTATGAGGTCCCTATTTTGCTGTTCCAACTGAGGAACTCCCATACCAAGGCCTCTTAAGATTATGAGAACAAAGTTGTCTCAGTTATATTCTGTGAGAAGTCGAAGTCCAGAAGGAATAAGTGTTAATCTGATTAGAAAAGTGATCAAGTAGCTCATTTATTTGTCAAAGGAAAAAGTTAGAAATTTTCCACATTCTTTTTAAAGAGGAACCCCACCTCCACTCACGCTTTAGCAGTACAGTTGCCTCCCACGCCTTCAATAGAAACATGACCATCAAGACAGACAGCTACAATCATAAAAAGCAAACTTATTTTTTGCGTGTTTGGAAATTGTCATTGCAGACTCTTTTGTCATACAAGCCTTTAACTGTTTGTGGATCAGGGCGAAACTACATATGACATTGCCAAATAGTTCTGCCCTTGGGTGCATGTTTCTTTAAACAAATAGTCAATACAGGAGTGTTGATCTGAATCAGAACCCACAGAAGGTTTAATTGTTTCTAATTCTACTATGTGCCCAGTGTAAGTAAGGTACTCAACACCTGCACTTTGCATTGCAAAGAAAAGAGTTTCCTTTCATTTCAGTTAGAGCTTTGGGGGCAATACAAATGGCTGTCATGGGGATCCTAATCTGGATTGATCCAAACAGCAGGGAAAAGGCTTAAAATCCTCCTGGCCCATTGATAGCCACTTGGTCTAGAACAGGAGGGGGCATGCTGGCTATCCGTAAAACAAATAAACAAAACCCCTAGAACTCAATCAGAACTATGCAACTAAACATGTGTCGACTGCTCTTAATGAGCTATCAAAGTGAGTCTCTTCCTGCACATTATGCCGGAAGTGAACCTTCTGTTTTTAGAGCTCCCAGCTGGGTGTCCATTCTTCCATGCCCAAAATTCTGAACTCCAGGTGATGCCAGATGTCTTCTTGCAATAAACGCTGATGAACTGACTCCAAATTTCAGTGCCACTGTTTTTGCATTTGCACATCTACTATGTAAATTAAGGCCATAAACCCATGGACACCAATGAAAGTATTTACCCTTTACCTTCTTTTTTTGATGGACTGTAATGGTAAGGATCCCCCACCCTCCTACTTTGTTTGGACAAAGAGCAAGGAAAGAAAGGCATGGCTTTCTTGTCTGAGCATTTGCTCATTTCCCCATGCTTTTTAATTCCTCCTACAATTTCTTTCTCCTTCTCTTTTGTAGACAACTAAAACAATCCACCCTGCAACGTTTTTAGCAGCAGGAATGCTCACCCCCTTCTCTTTCTCCCTCTTGATGGGGCAGCCTTCAATAGCAAACCATTGAGTTGCTGCTTAGCTTATTTTCTCAATATAATTCCATTTCAGAACAAGTTCTGATCTTTTATTTGCTGGTCCCATGTACCTTACAAGGCCACTCTGCTACTGGGAGTAACCAACCAGGAGTAATGAATGGAGCCCTCCTGTGTATTTGGAGACAGTTCTAATTTCTGGGTCAGCTCTATCAGACACACTGCAGCAAGAATCAGAGCAGGGCACAGTCCCCACCGCAGGCTCGAGCTATTCAGCCTCCCGCATTCATTTATATTCTGGAAGGATCCACAGGCACACATGCCCTGAGCAAGTGTGGAAACATCACCTTGGCTAAGGAAAGATTATCACTCAGACCAAGCACTTCTGGGCTCACTTTTCCCCCCTCCATTCTTCACTACATCCACAATTACAGATGCTTTACTGCAAAGCTGGGCACATGCCTGGGGCGCAGCACCTTTTGAAGTTAAGCCTAGCATTAAAGTTACACATAATCAAAGAATTTGTATCCCTGATATACAGGAATTGTGCTGAATTGCATTAATTGTGAACACACTCTCCCAGGGGTTAGTTTTCATTCATGCCATATGGTAAATCATCCCAGAAGTCATTTAACTCAGTCTCAGCAGAGGAACCGTCTCTGTGATTTAATAGTTGGAATTTGTGCCAATGATCCCTGATAATTTGCTTTGTGCGTGTGTGTGCTACCAGAAATGTGCTAAGAATAAAAAATGATTGCATTATCTATAACTTCACTTTTTAAAGGTGGGTTCTGGCAAACTTTAATCACAAATTTTAATCACGAAGGTTTCATTAGTTTTGAAGAGAGAGTAACAGTGCAGTACACTGTACATATCTATACGGATACGTATAAACCCCACTCTGTTCAGTAGGACCTTCTCCCAAATAAGGGGGCATGTGATTGCAGCTTTAAACACTTTCACACAGTGCAATATGGATGAGTTACACCATGCTGCCTGGGCCATTCTGGGAGTTGAATATCCTCTTTTGCCTAAACATGTATAAAACAGGGCCTTTATTCACTTGTAGCATTGGTGTATCTGAATAGTTGCTTAATACGGTGTGTGTGTGTGTGTGTGTGTGTGTGTGTGTGAGAGAGAGAGAGAGAGAGAGAGAGAGAGAGAGAGAGAGAGAGAGAGAGATTGATTTTAAAAGTTATCTACCATCATGAGTTATCAGGTCTAGTCCCTGAGAAGGCTCACGTATCCTTCCTTTCTTATCAAAGGAAAGAAAATTCCACCAGCTGTTTTCTACAGTTGCTGAAACAATATGATAGGAAAAGCTACACCAGGAACTATGAAGAAGCTTTCTGTAGACCTCACAATACTATTTTATTCCTTAAGTGACAGATCCTTCTAACAGGTACACTATAATCAGTCCCTTATCAGTCCGCCTCTTTCTGGGCACAAATTCAAGTACAAGCATGGTAATTTCATCAGTTACCTGGCTGGCTGGACTCCCACCAGCATAAGGATCCTCAGTGCAATCCTGCGATGCAGATTCCATTCTTCGATGGCAGCTGCCATGATTAAACCACTCAGGAAGAGGAAGTTGGTGTCTAAAAAATACTGGGGGCAAACTTTGCTGGCTGGGAGAACACCAAGGAAAGGGAAGAGAACTATGGGAAGAAGAGCAGTCACAGACAATGGTAGGGCTTCTGTACACCAGTATATAGCCATCACCAGAATTACGTAGAGACATTTTCCTTCCTGCAAGAAAATAAAATGAACAATAAGTAAGTGATAATATAATTAACTTCAACAGCACTTGGGGAAGTGCAAAGCCCTCTACAGTCTTTATTTTTATAGCCTTAACCATTCTGATACCAACACTATGAAGTAGGTCACTAATTTATCATCTCTATTTCTTTATGAATAGGAGCTTAAGGCTTACACAACTATTTGGCCAAGGACAGCTCAGTTTCTGCATCTGGATTTATGGCTAGCCTCATCTCTAAGGATCAAGGTAAGTAACAATGGAAAGATCCCACAAATATATGCAGCACAAGGGAGACAAAGGAGTTCCACCATTGCTGGGCAGCCACTGCAACTACCTCTCCCTGCATTCACACCATCAAAAACATGATGAACAGATAACATAACCGGGACAATGTTTTCATTTGATATGTGCAACCAAACCTGCTTTAGGGGAGGAAGCCATCCCCCAAAATGCCCATGCAGAATACATGCTTTGAGGTGAGAACCACATGCAGTTTCTCCCCTAAAAGAGATATGAATATGTTGAATGCATATTCAGTCTTGAGATTGGAACATAGTGAATTTGTGTTTAGATTGCTTCCACTACACTAAGCCATTCTACATGTAATTCTCAGTCCTTTTTATCTTGAGTTTTTTCCCACCCAAAGTAGATTTGGTTACCCTTCTTCCTCCATGATATTTATAAATACACATGAATCAGAGCAATCCAATTTCTTGCCTTTCACATTTAAGATATGGCTCTAAAAAGCCAAAGTCCATGCTCTGCGTGCCCATGTGGCTGATATGATCAAAGTACACCTGTTGCTATGGAAATGGAAAAGTGATGGAAGCAGCATCCCTTGTTGACCACCTTTCTCCACCTTCACCAAGCTTCACTTTGCTCTAAGGCACCCACTAGCCAGCTTCAACCAAGACTCAGAATGATTTTTTGAGAATAAATCATTATCTCGCTTGATTAAAGTTCAAATCATTTTTTGCTCACAAATACAAAGTTGCTTTTCTGTCTTGTGATTTAGTTAATTTTCTAACTGTGTAATGATTGCCAACCAAGATTTTTTCTGAGTTACACAAGGTTCTGAGTTTTTAATGGCCAACATCCCGTTTCTGGGCAAGGTGTTAGAGCGGGTGGTGGTGGGACAACTCCAAGCACTCTTGGATGAAACTGATTATCTGGACCCATTTCAGTCCGGCTTCAGACCCGGGTACGGTACTGAATCTGCCTTGGTCGCCCTTTACGATGACCTGTGCAGGGAGAAGGACAGGGGGAGTGCGTCCCTGTTGGTTCTCCTGGACCTCTCAGCGGCTTTAGATACCATCGACCATGGTATCTTTCTGGATAGGCTAGCGAGATTGGGGGTCGGAGGCACTGCTTTGCAGTGGTTCCGCTCCTATCTCAACGGCCGATTCCAGAAGGTGGTGCTGGGGGACTATGGCTCTGCGCCATGGCAGCTATGCCATGGAGTACCGCAGGGGTCCATTTTGTCCCCTTTGCTGTTTAACATCTACATGAAACCGCTGGGAGACGTCATCAGGAGGTGTGGGCTGCGGAATCATCAGTACGCTGATGATACCCAGCTCTTCCTCTCGTTTTCCACCAATCCAGGTGAGGCAGTGGCTGTGCTGAATCGGTGCCTGGCCAAGGTAATGGGCTGGATGAGGGCCAATAACCTGAAGCTCAATCCAGACAAGGCAGAGGTCCTGTTGGTTGGCAGATCGGGCTTCGGAGAGGGTGGATTTGACCTGGTCCTGAATGGGGTTGCACTCCCTCTTAGGGACAAGGTCCACAGCCTGGGAGTGCTCCTCGACCCGGAGCTTTCATTGGAAGCTCAGGTGACAGCAGCGGCGAGGAGCGCTTTCCTTCAGCTTCGGCTGATTAATCAGCTGCGCCCCTACCTGAAGTATGACTGCCTGGTGGCGGTGACACACGCACTGGTGACTTCCTGCCTTGACTTCTGTAACACGCTTTACGTGGGGCTTCCCTTGAAGACGGTCCGGATACTTCAGTTGGTTCAAAACAGAGCTGCCAGGCTGCTGATGGGGACTGGGCGTTATGGTCACATGACTCCAGTTCTCTGTCAGCTTCACTGGCTTCCCATTGAATTCCGGGCCCAATTCAAGGTGTTGGTGATGACCTATAAAGCCCTAAATGGCTTGGGTCCTGGTTACCTGAAGGAGCGCTTACATCCATATATGCCCGGCCGCCCCTTGAGATCTGCGGGAGAGGCCCTTCTCCGGGAACCCTCCGTGAAAGAAATTAGGAGGGTAGGTACTTGGAGGAGGGCTTTCTCTGCGGTGGCGCCCAATCTATGGAATGCGTTCCCCAGAGAGGTCTGCCTGGCGCCGTCATTATTTGTTTTTCGGCGCCAGGCAAAGACCTTTTTATTTAAACATCATTTTAATTGTTAACAATATTTGCTTATTTATCTGGCCAGGGCGACTTCTTTTATATTGTTATTTATTTTATATTGTTAATTTTATATTGTTATTTTGGTATTTTATTGTATTTTATTTGTGCTGTGAGCCGCCCCAAGGCTTCAGCAAGGGGCGGCACAGAAATGTTTTAATAAATAATGCGATCACCTCTATTATAAGAAAAAGGGAAGAATGTTATGGCTTTCAGAGATTTTCCTAATGGAAAAAATGACACCAAGGCCTGCTTACCAGCTGATTGTTATTATGTACATAATATCCACTTATGGGGAAGTGGGCCCAGGACTGATGATTCACTTGACTAGCTATCCTAATGCACACAAAACTCACTGAAGGAATGGAGATCCTACAAAAACATGGTAGCTGATTGATGGCAGATAATGTGCTTCAAACACTACATCTGATTCATAAAACTGAAAGTTGGCTTTCAGTCCTTGAGGAACAACTGAAGGGATTTGTCTTTGCTCAAATACAGAAGCAATATCCATTAAGCTATCAGTTTCCTATCTAAATAAACCCACAGACTTGAGGACCAGCTGTGCATATGTACCACAGACCATTCAAATAACAAGGAGAGTGGTCACCAGGAGACATACGGTCCTTACCTAATGCCTCCCATTCCAGATCCAACATCCCTGCCTAATGTCTGTAGGTAATCTTTCAGTAATCACCTACTCTGGGCAATGCACTATCAAAAAGGACAAAACATGATACAGATTTATATAAAATTAAATAGGTTTATGTGTATGTACCTATGCAAATCTAGACATTATTCCTGTCAATTGAATAGAAATACAATACATCTCACCATATCATGGAAGTCCATCACCAGATGAGCTGTATATCTGCTCATTCTACTCCCCAGATGCTGCTAACTCTTGATGGGCAAGTTCAAGGCTGCTGCTCTCCTTCATTATCCACTTAAACCTTAAAACTGAGCTGTACAACCCTTTCCACTAGGGGAAGAATGCAGAGGACTGTTCCCTATTTTGCATGACATATGGCCACCCTAGCAGCCGGTCTCCAAGATCCATGTAATCCTCTCGTATTTCCAAGGAGAAAACATGCACATGTACATTTGCATCATACCATCAACTGTAGCAAACTGTGAGAATGGATGCTTGGAGGAAAGATTATCACTATTTATTAAGACTGAGACTGAAGAATTGAAGGTCATTTATGCTGAATCAGACCACTAGCTAGTCTAGCTCAGTTTACCCAGATTGCCGGCAGCTCTTTCATCTCTTAGCGATGGACTTTCTCAGTCCTGACACCTGAGCCCCTTTCAGTTTGAGACTGAAGCTGGGTCCTCCTGTGTACAAACCAAATGTTTAATACCAAGCCACAAGAGTGTTCTGGGTACCCAGAAATTCAGGGCTCAGGTCCACAGTACAACAATGCCTATGCTAATTTACATATGTTCGATATTCTAAAGTATGAATGTGTGTGCACATGTGTCTTTAGAGGATCCTGTATCTGAAGGGCACTTTTATTTCTAAAAAGGAGATGCATGGATACAGGAAAGAAAGGCATAAAACTCAGGCAGATGGATTTGCAGGGCAATTGGAGGGGAGCCCCTTCTGGACAAAAAGGCAGCTAATCCAGATGTAGCACAGATCATGAGGACCTCAGAATCTTTATTTCAGGAAGTTCCCATGGGCAGCAGGGTAGTTGGGCACATGCCCTTCCAAAGATTTGGGACTCTAACTTTGGGGGGTGCTCCCTAAAGTTAGACCTCCACTCTCCAATATTATTGATTGGGAAGCTGCAAAAATCCCCCCGTCTACCTTGAAGCTCTGCCCTGGGATCAAAATATCTGGGGGTGGTCAGACCATGTTGACCTGAAGCATCCATGCAATTATAATTTTACAGAAGCAGTTACACTATATCAAGTCACCCACAGTGGTAGAGCACAGCCAGGACTCAGAGGGATGGAGCACTGGAGCAGGGAAGCTGAGGCCAGGACATGTTCCAATGGAGCAAAGCTCAGGGAACCAAGATTTAGGGTGGAGCCAGGAAGTACTTCCTGACAGTTAGGACCCCAAGGGTATGAAATGGGCTTCCATGGGAGGTGGTTGAGGCCCCATCATTGAGGGTGTTCAAGGATAGGCTGGACATGCACATGGTAGGCATGTTATGAGTGGAGCTGGCTGGAGCCGGATGTCAGACTAGATGGCCCAGGAGGCCCCTTCTGACTCACTCTGTTTCTATGTTTCTATATCATCTCTCACTCCGAATTCTCTGCCCCCTCTGATCTTAGGTGCAATCTCCATAGCAGCTGTGGGGAAATGAGTTTTCCTAGCAATAATATTATTCCTCGTTAGAACATAAATCATGCTGAGGTGGCATGAGAAGACACATTAGCTTTACAACAGACTTGCTCCTGATAGTGATAAAACTTCAAGAACTCACCTTCCCCTTTACACAGCTGCCTGAAACCTGCATTATTGGATTCTTTATGGAGCCATGGTTATGGAGATGACATGAGGAACAGCTGCATTTCCAAATATACCATTGAACCACTGACTGCCAATGCTGTTCATTGCTAGTTAAGGGCTGCG